GGGTGCCGGAGCTGAGTTCCCCCTGCAACCGTTGGCGAGATGGCAGCGGCCCCCCCTGCAGCCAGGACAGACTCGGTGGAGCAGAGACCCACTCACAGCCCGTGGAGAAGCCCACGTTGGAGAACAGATGCCTGGGCCTGAGGATGGTTGTGGAGCATGGGACGCACAACAAGGAAGAGAGGCTTCTAGAGTCCGTGGGACGACCCACACCAGCGAGTGGCAACAACTCCCTAAGAATCTGAGACTGTGGTAAAGCCTGCACTGGAGCAATCTGATGGGGAAGGATTGCATCCTGCGGGTAGGACTCACACTGGAGAAGTTTGTGGATTTTTCCTTGTGAGTAGGGGATCCACTGGAGCAAGGGAAAAGGGTGTAAGGACTCCTCCTCCTTTAAGAAAGGCACGGCAGTAACAACATGGGATGAACTGACCCGCACTCCTCCATCTCCCCCATTCCCTGTCCCCCTGTGCCGCTGGGGGAGGAGGTAGAGCCGGGAAGAAAAGGAAAAGGGGGACGTGTTGTTTTTAAGATCTGGCTTTGTTTCTTTTTATCCTCTCAAGTAACCGGTTTTGCTTCCCTTTGACCTTTTAAGTAACCGTCAATAAATTGCTTTGCTTTAAGAAAGTCGAGTCTGTTTTGCCTGGGACCATAGTTGGTGGGTGCTCCTTCTCTGTTCTTGTCTTGACCCTCAGTCCTTTTGTTACATTTTTCTCTCCACTTCACTGGGGAAGGAGTGAGAGAGCAGCTGTGTGGAGTTTAGTTGCCGGATCAGCCTAAACCACGACACAAAGCCAAAGCACATAATAACACACAGCTACACAAGGGGCTGGACAGGTAACAAACCAACTTGATAAATTTATCAGTAAATTAGTACTAGGATGACCAAGGAGAGAACTGCTTAGCAAGAGGCAAAACTAGTAATGATGCTTAGAGTTCATTAAAAAAGATCTTTCCTTCTGTCTTCATTCAAAAAGTTAACACCAACCAGAAAACCAGAAGAACTAAAAAACAGGAGAAGAAAGAGAACTTCCTTCTTGGGCTAGAAAGGGTAAAGAGCAGGTTAAAGACTGTGGTGCAAATCAGAGATTTTAAAACCCTTTGGGCTTGATCAAATGTACTCTAAAACACTCAGGAAACTACGTGAAGAAATTTCTGAGACATTGATGGTTATTTTGGAGGCCTGAAGGAGTTCTCAGAAGAAAAGAAAAGGAATAAGTATTATATCCATTTTTAAGAATAGGTAAAGAAAGGATGAAGGAAACTATAGACAAGGTGACATATTTTCTGTTCTCAGACAGACACATGAAATAATTGCCAAACTACTTAAAGCAATGAGAAGACAGCAAAGTAGTGAAATGCAAAACCACAAATAACCAGGATTTCTGCAGAATGAATCATAGCAAACTAACAAAGTTCTTTTCTGATACTTGGGTGGTGTAAAGGCCACATTTTTTATGTTAATAAGGCCTTTAATACTGTTTACACAATACTCTCAGAATCAGGTTAAGGGTGAAAATTACCCAAAACAGATGAAACCACCTGGAGAAGGGTATGCAGTAGTTTGCAAAAATGTACTGAATAGTAGTTATAATTTATGTCAAACAGAAAGAGTACAGCAAGTAATGTTTCACTGAGATCTGTCTGGGTCTCAGCGAAATTTCTCATTTCTAATAATGACTGGATAGTGAGGACAGAACTTGCTCCAACTAGGAGATGCTGCAGTACTTGGACAGCAGGATGGACAAGAATCGAAACCACAGTGACACATCAGAAAAGTCCAAAGACCTCCGTGCAGGTAGGGACAATCAATTGCACAAACACCAGATGAAAAACAGACATCTGTGCCAAAGATCTACATATAAGGGTCCTGACCTGGTTTCAGCAGATCAGAGACTTGAATACTGGTGGTTAGTGTCACCCCATCAGAAAAAAAATCTAATAATTACGCAGGAATGTACAAGGAGTGTTGTACATAAGACAAGTGACATTTCCACTCTCTCTTCAGTACAGCAGAGCCACTTCTGAAATATTCCTCAGGAGCTATAGATCAACTGAAGACAATCCTGAGTAGGTCAACAAAATAACTGGAGACCCAAAAACAGAAGCCACGAGGAAAGACTAGGAAGTAATGGATTTAAGAATACATTGTAAAAGAAATTATATGAGTAAACTGTCTTAAAAAAGTTACGGAATGTCGATCAACTGGAGAACATGTTATAAGAACAAAGGAGATAGCATTTGCCAAGTATGGTTTAGGTACAGCTCTTCCTATCTATCTTCAGCACAGAGGTGAAGCCAATGACTGCTCAAAGTCCTTTCTATTCCTGTATTCTACCATTCCAAAAAGCAGCAGATTGAAAATATTTGTAACCCAGACCACCCAATTTTATACTTTTTCATCGCAGATGTCCTGCCTGTGTTTTTACCCAGTCAGATACTGACAGAAAAATGCTCTGAATCTCACATTCATCTCTTCAGCATATTGAACAGGCTGAGCCATAATCTTCAAAAACTAGACAGGAATGAAAACAAATGGTTCCATTTTCATCCAGACTTTCGGGGCAGAAGTCAGGTTCTGCCTTTTGTCACTCTTATTAAATCATGTATGAGATGAGTGGTCCCATTAGAAAGGGGGAAAAAAAATTCTTATTTTTTTAACCTGCATTAGAATGGTGAAAGTCAGTTTCCTCTCCAGCTCCATCCACGGCATTTGTATGCTCTTCAGGCCTGTCATTAGTCATTGTTCTTCGGATGCTCTGGTACCTAGGGTTAGAAAACTGCACTTTATATATAGTATATGATAACTAGGATCCAATTCTGGCTCCGAGGGAGCTTGCCTGCCTTTTCTGCCATGTAGATTAATATACATTGACCGCTAATTTCTGCATTAATAGCCTTTTGAATTTCTGAAAACCATTACCAGATTTTTTTTTTAGCCACATAGCTTATGAACACAGGTGGAATCCAAAAGCCCTAGAAGCCCACATGCAAATTAAAAGGGACAGTCACATAAAAATAAATACATATGGTCAGCTGCAGCAGCAACTGCAACCCTGTCTTCATACTCAGTCTTACAACACTGAGTGCAGTTTTGCAAGCACACAAGTCACAAACAAGGGTAGTTCTTACCGGCGATTCAGCTGTTCCATTTGCTGTATGGAATTTGACCTCTGGAGAATCTGTGGGGCTGGGGGGGCTGTGGGTCGCTGCCATGTCGTTGTCCTGTTCACATGGTCCACATAAAAAATCCGTCCGTGGCTGTCAATTCGAGCTTCCCAGTCTAAGGAGCAATAAAATACTGTGAACTATGGAGGATCTGGGGTTTCTTTCTTTATTTTAGCTTCTATTTCTCTTTTAGAGAATGACTTCAGCACAAAACTTTCTTACTGAAGGGTTAAAAGACATGGCTTTTCTCCATTTCATCCCATAAATTGAATTCCCCACTGTAGTTCAGGTTCTGTGGAAACCATATCTAACAATTTCTCTTCCTTTATTTCTCTTTCTTTATCTATTCTATTTCCCATTAATCAGTAATTGTCTCAAAAAAAAAAAAAAAAGTATCAGGATACTTAGTCTAATTGTCTTGGAATGAAGTAATTCAAGATCCAATCTCTGAGGCTTATTCCACTGCAAAACACCAATTAATAAATACCAAAAACCTTGCAAAGCTTAACACCTGACATTGTTTTTTCCCCATATAATAGCAACAGTAATAAAATAGATGCCAGTGCTCTTCCTGGGTTTACATGTACCTATGTTAAAGGTAAGCAGACCTGCCGGAAAAGATGGACAATTATAACAACAAAACTTCTTCATATACTAAACTCATGTTCCAGAACTGCCAATTCTGCAAATATCATAGCAAATTCACCTTTTTGTGCAAGTGGTAACTATAATGTTGTCCACTGGTTTTGCAACACAAGCTACAGACAATGCTGGAAGTCCAGATCGTGGATGCACACCAGCAGAGCAGAGATGAAGGCACTGGGACCTTTCCCCAGCCACATCTGGCTTCCCAGTGCTCAGCAGAAACTAGGCACATCACAACACCTAGGCCTTTGTTCAGAAGTTATTTGGGTCAGAGACACTGTCTGCCTAGCAACTGGTGATGAGCAAGATACCAAGACACTGATCATGGCTGGAGGCCGCATAATGCTAAAAAAGCATATTAAGATATTTCATATACAGAAACAGATGCGTCTGATCCTTGGGCACTAGCAACTGCAGAAAATGTGAAAACCATTTAGCACATCAGTTGAAAAACAGTCTTTGGGAGCTCAGAAGGTTTCTAGCAAAGACTTTCTATATTGCAAGTCTAGGTGGAAACATCAGTCATCGCAGTAACGTTTTAAAAACCAGTGGCAAGCAACCAATCCAAAATGACCGCTGCTCCACGAGGAAAGAGGCCACAAAAACGTCTTGACAGCAGAGAAGAACTAAACTCTACTGTAAAGTATTTAATACTGACAGTCTTAAAACCTCAGGCTTTGTTACCGCACGTGTACTCTGGCTTCCGCCCGCGCTTGGAGGCAGCCAAGTGGCTCGCTGCATTGCACGGCAGGGCCTGAGCTGACTCGTGAAGAGGGAGGAAAGGCTGGTTTGGGGATAAACTCATTGTGTCATCTCTGCAGGACAGCTGTGTGTTTGAGTTGGCCAGAATGCAAATTACTCTTCTGTCTTTACGACGCGCTGTCACAATTGTCTATCAGGGTTTAAAGCATTTCTAGTGTGAACAAGAGCTATGTAGGAAAGTAAGCTCAGAGGAAGAAAAGAAAAAGCAGCACAATAGGATAGGAACAAGGAGAACCGTTTAAGGGTCACATTTCAATTCCAGGAGGAAAAAATTCAAAATTCTGTATTATATGGAAATTTAAAATAAACAAAATTACAACCATGCAAAGCTTATGGGGTAATCACGGTATTTGCTATTCAAAATACGACACATTTGAAAGTTACAAAAAAAATGTCATTTGTATCTCAAAAAAAAGCAAACAAACATTTCAACATCTTCTGAAAAACATTTCCATTTTTTAAAAAGAAAAAATGATTGAAACAGATGTTCCTTTGCAAAGGCCCCATTTCAAAAAAGTATTATCTTCTGATGAAATAAAATTGATCCAAATTTTTAACTAGAGTTTGTAAACAAAACAAAATATGGAAGTATTCCAGGAAGGACAGAATTTTCACCGAGGAAAACAAATAAAATAAAAATAAAATAGTTTGTGAATTCATTATTCTGCCTAAACCACTGTAAAACAGTTGAGATTTTTCTTGTAGTGATTACGTGTCCGATTCTGACACACAGTCACCATTTCTGTAACACGGTTTTGCAGAAGAAAAGCGGTTTTGCCTACATTCAATTTTAAATACACAAGTTTAAACACTCGGGCAATGGCTTCTAAAGCACCCGCATCAGTGCTGTGATGGACAAGAACATCTTCCGTTAATCAAATCATTTTTAGTCAAATGTGTTACAAATAACTTAGCCTGAAGAATTGCAAATCTGCAAGGGCAAGCTTATTTGTTGATTTTTCCCTAGGAATGTAGGAATTGGTGCATAATGTTGCATGTTATAGGCAGAAACACCAGATGAATATTTCCATTCATTCTCTTGTTCTTTAACTTAACTTACACAAAACTGTAAGAAATGCATGTGTTTTTCTTTCTTAGTTTCAGATTCTGGTGAAACAACAAATAGAATACAACCCAAATTATGAAGAAATTACAGTTTATAACTCAAAATTGTATTCTAAACGCTTTCTCTAATTTTTCACTACTAAAATATTAAAACTGTTACATAACCGAAAGTGAAGCTTTGGAGAGAAAAAGTGAATCTAGGCAATAATTAGTGTTTATGATTTTTTTCACATTAACAAACAAATGATCTACGTAAAGATTGTATCAGGCTTTGATTATAAAGGGGTGATGTGTATACGCATGCCTGTGCATGACCGTGTAGAATCCCAGCAAATGTCATAAATGTTAGAAGACCACACAGCCAAACCTTTTCCATTAACATTCCAATAGTTTTTCCAAGTAATTATTGTAGTGTACCATTTGCTTCTGAAACACAAAAAGCAATCTACATAAAAATCATGGTACTGTAAAAGCTATCTCTATGCATTTCTCATTACACTGATCTCTGAGTATTTTCCTGTCATGTTCTCTATCTTTTTCAGTATGAAAAGTGATAAAAATGCAATGACAATATTTGTCTCCCAGGCATAATTTTTAAAAAAATAATAGTGGTTTACTGAGGTGGCAGGTAATTACCTTTATGATGTGCACACAGGACTAATTTGTTATACGCACTGATTATAACACAAGCAGCAGGGAGCAAAATCTTCTCATCACCCTGGCTTTCTAACATAGTTCTATCCGTGTTCTGCTCTCAGGCTTCTTTTAGTTACCCTCTCCAACTACAGAGCAAACACAGACCCATTCCATACTGTGAAATGAGGATCTATTCATTTTACACTAAATATCTGAATTACTGACTCCTTTAAAGTCATAGAGCTTTGCCACATATTTCAGTGGGTCTGAAATTAACTTTCTTTTGCTTTTTTGTTTTAAAGTACTGTTTGCCTATTAGCTGTGTAGCTTTTTTTTTTTATTATTCCTTTCTCCTTTCTTTAAATATCTAATGCTGAATAGATTTTCACTGCCTCAAGTTTAAGCAAGTAAATCGGTCCAACAATTGGGAGCAATGTATTTTTCATATGCACTAGAGAAACTGCAATTTATCTGCCAATTTAGGCTCATCCAACTGTTGCTTAATGCTCAGGTTTGTTTTAATTCAAAGTCTTCACAGTGCCTCAAAAAATGCAAGGAAAACACAGATACCTTTTACATAATCTGCGGAGATTAAAGATGTTACCTATTTCTTTGTAAATCGCCACCATGCAAGAAGCATTCAGAGATTTCAGAGTGCTTGACATCTTTCCCTCCAAGTGCCTCTTACAGCGTTACCACCTCACCTCCCTCCCCATGTGCACTGCATACTGCAAAGGCACCACCGTGCCATCCTACTTCTCCGCCAATGTTGCTTGGCAAGTGTGTACACACCAGGTGTAATTATCATAACACATCCTGACAGTTTGCAGACTGAGCACAATGCCTCCCCCAAAACAGCACTAGACATCATCATCATCACTCCTCACTTCGAGCTTCTCAGCTGTTCATTCTCAGTTCTCACATTGAAAAAAAAAAATTTAATGAGATCTCAGTAACAAGATCCAGGTAGCCTATCCCCCAATTAAAGTATGAAGAACCTCACTTGGTGGTAGAGCCTCATCCACTCTCTGGTACCGGCTAACATCCTGACGTACTGAAGGCAGCGACCTCAAGGGCTGATGGCCATTGGCTTGAGAACCTGGAATCAAAATGCCCGCAAATTATTTTTTCAGTCAATGTGAGGAAGCCCTAGAGTTGCCTCTAAAGTGGATGAGACATGCTAAAGATTCTGCAGGACTACTGTATTTTAGGATATATCTAATAGTCGTCTATTTTCTGGGGCAAAACAAGTTATGCCTGCAGTTCTGGGTACGGGATTCCTCTGGGATGCGTTGCAGTCCTGGTCCTGAAAACGTCACCTCTTAGGACACGCCACATCCACCTGTGTCCAGCAGAATTCAGAGCACAGAAACAACAGCGTGTGCCAGAGCCATATCCCAGCAAGGGACAAGGACAAAGCACCTGGCCATCGCAGAAACCTGCTGTAAGAGTGGGAGGTGAAACCAGTGACCTTCCTTGCTGCAGCCACACTGATCTGAAAAACACAGTGCAACCTGACACGTAATAAAAAGAGAGTCCCAAATGTCTAGAAAATTATGTAAAAGAACATATTGGCAGTATTTGAAATAAATGCCAAAATTATTTTTTCAAAATCAAAGAGCTGCTTATGAAGAGAAGAAATTAATAGATCCCAAAACTTTTGAAATGTCATGAAAAAGATACATTCAGAAATCCAGTTTGATTGCACCCGCTTGATTAAATCCACTTCAATCCCTGAAGAAATTGAATGGATAATCCATTGTGAAATGTGCTTGGGAACAATCAGTTAGGGACGCATTTCTGCTTTCAGTGATTTTAGTGAGACAGAAAATTCTCAATTGTTAAAATAATTTTGCAACTGGTAAGAGTTTCACAGTCTTAACTTGAGTAACACATTCCTCTCCTCCCTTGGCTCCAGCTGTGCTAGGATGTGTCCACACAGATAAGGGACTGGGAAAAGGAAGATAAACAGCCTGAAGTGTGACTAAAAAATGATACTTTTTATTTTTGCTTTTCTTTTGATTACCCTTATGTTTTAATGCTAATATATGTATATATTTTCCTCCTCCTATAAACATGCCAAATAAAAGACTCAAATATAAATTCTAGTTTGCATTTCACAGTTTTGGGATTATTTCCCCTCCATTACCATTTTGATTAGCAAGTAGGGAAATACTATGGAATTCTTTCCTCCTCTTCATCCTCCTTCTCTAATGAGAATTAAATTTAATTCTTCACTCAAGAATTAAAATATATCCAGTTTCAAAATAAACACGTCTTGGCTATTTCAGTTTTGATTTTTTGTTAAATCAAAAACCCCAAGAGTCTCTTGAAGAAGGGACTAAATCTCAAAGGAACAAAAAAAAAAAGTAATCTTGAAAGATAATGAAATTGAGAAATGAAGATCATTATTTTCAGATGTTAATTTCTAAAATACTTTTTTACTGGCTGCAGAAAAGTCACCTCGGAAAGCGCCTCCTGCAGTTATTACCTCCAGTAGCTCCTTCAACCTGTGCTGTGGCACCCTCACAAGCTGCTTGGGCTCCTTCAGTTTCCTCATCCTGAGATTGGCTATTGGCAGCTGCCGCCTGCAGGCTCCTTCTTCTCTGCCAGATTTCTTCTGCTTCCTCTTGGTCTTGTAATTCACCTGCCTCAGCCTCCTGTACCTCCTCCTGAGGTAACTCTACTGCAGGTAGAGAACCAGAAGTACTTGCAGAGTCCTGTGTTTCAGCACCTGGCTCTATTCTAGCCACATCGGTGGCACAAGCTCCCTCTTCCTCCTCCTGAGAGGAAAAGGCCGGAGTCTCGGAAAACCTGGCACTTTCGAAAGAAGAACACCGCATTTCAACCGAGGAACGTCGCACTGTCGCGCTTTCGTTGCAAGAGCTGTCTGCCCCTTCCACATCGCTCTCCCCTTCCGGCCGGGTACTAGCCTCACTGACGCTTTCTGTGCGAGCAGGATCACTCTGCTCGGTTTCTGATGACATCTGGGAAGGTTCAGACCCTTGGTCGATAGATTCCGTTTCACTAACGCCCCTTCTGCTCCCAGCAGCAGCATCAGCAGCTCCTGTGTCCATGCTGCCAGGAGGCTGCTCTGCCTCCTGAGCAGCACAAGACTCGCTGCCAGCCTGGTCTGCAGGTGCTTCACTTTCAGAACCTTGAAGGCTTTCACCTCCTGCTAACTGTGACAGTGGAAGCTCTGGGAGAGTCTCTTCCTGGTCATCAGTTGATGGCAAAGGAGCTTCAGAGGCTGAAATGTTTTCATTCTCTGCAGGCCCTTGCATTACCTGATCTGATGAGTAACTACTTCTTTCCACATTTCTTGTAGCACCATTAAGCATTACTAAACCACCATCGTCTTCTAAGGAAGACGGAAAACCCAGGTCCTGATGTAGCTCATGCTCCTCTTCGTCCGAGTCAATGTGAAGCATAGCATTAAGTCTTGTGTCAGTAGGGAAGCTACTCCTCAGTTTTGGGGAGGCTCCACGTGGACGCTCACCACAGGAAGACGTCCCAGGTCTGGGATGACTATTGTGTCCTATTGCATCCAGATAGTCATTTAGTGAGTCCTGGCGACCTCTGGTAGGTGATGATCTTGAAGCACTGGAGGTCAACTCGTCCTGGTCTGTTTCCAGAGTTGTACTAGTCCTTAAAGGGTGTCTCAGGATTGCTTCTCCAGAAGATTCCTCAAGGACTGGACCATTGGAACACACTGTGGATGTATCATGATGTCCTGCTGGCATATCCTCATCATCAGAGGGGCTCCCCAAGTCTCCATTTACAGAGTTCACTCCCAGCAAAGTGCCAACTGTTTCTGGTGATGCATCTGCAGAGACACAATGACTGAAAGTGAAAAACAAAGCAGCAACAGACAGTTCACTCTACTTTGTCTGCATCACAGAAGAGATATAAAAATACACATCTTTCAAGGCGTTTGCTTATTTCAATTTGACAACTAAAGGAAGAAAATACAATTAAAATAAGAGGCATCTACAGCACTATAACAGTGATTACAGAATTTTCTCTGTATAAGTCTATACTATTTTTTAGGATACAGAAAACTTAAGGGGTGTGAAGCATTACTTTAAAGGACTCCCACTGTGCTTTCAAAAGACAGAGCACTGCCAAGCATCTTGTCAAACTGTCAGCAAAACCAGCCTTACAACCAAGGAAATAGTTTTCTACAGCGCATCTCATATCCAAAAATAGGATTTACACAAAGCCAGTCACTGACACCAGTTGTCTAAATTACACCCTTAGCAGCATGCAAACCAGCAGCTGAGATCACATGAGGAATCACAAGTTGCGTACAGATATCAATTTACATATACAACATTTATATTGAGCTAATTTATAGGACTTTTCCATCGTAAAGAAGGGGAATCTACCTAAGTAAAGTGCATGAGACATTAGGTATGCTCTGGTAATACATATAAAAGGGAAATGAAAATAAGCCATCTCATTTGAGAGATAAGATGGTAACTCCTCACACAGGAATTCAACAGGCACAGAGCTGAATAATCCAGATGTAAGTGTGTGTAAATGTCTGCAAAAAACTTAACAGTAAGTCTGCGAACTAGAATGCCTCACAACAAACAGGACCTCAGACAAGCATTTTTTTTTAATGGTGACAGCAAAAATAATGATGAGATACAGGACTACACAGCTACACAAAAAGGCAAGAAGGTTGTATCAAGTTAAAAGATAGAGCAATATCTCACTACCAAAGAGATTATACCAAGTCTAATGAAGAAGAATCTAAGATCATAAACACGTAAATAGACATATTATGATGTTATAATCATGAAATTGTACCAGCCATGTTCTACTAGTTGCCTTCAGAACAGGAAAAAAGGGAAATAAAAGAATTGCCTAAGAGAAGCATGTATTCTCATAACCGTAACAGGTTCTTGGTTCCACACAGGACAGAGTGCTGCAAAAGGGAGACAGGACAGTGATCTGCATGTACACTAGCAGGGGAGGAGAGCACAGCTGGAATCTTACTTGCAGCTGCTTATCTCAGCCAAATGTGTTACAGACTGAAGATATTACACAGTGAAGAGAAACAATGAACTTGATTACCCAACCTATCCCATAAAATGAGACTCACAAGCAGATTCATTTAAAATCTATCTAACAAAATACGAAAACAATATGGTAAGTGTCGGTGTTCTGGAATTACCATCTCCAAAGCAGTACCTGACATATCTAAACTTTGAATCCCAACAGAAAAATTTATAATAAAGGCACTGTACACAAATGAGAAAGTATATTATCACAGAAAATCTTAGAAACAGAAATACGCAGAAACTCTCCATACTACTATCTGGAGATCCAGATCATTGGCAGATTCTTACCTTCGTGAACAGAAGATGTGATTTCCACTTTGAATTGGAGATATCCACTTACATGATCAGCTGGGAGCCTTCTGCCAAGATTATAGCTGAGAACCTGGTCTCTGCAAAAACAAAGATATTGGAGGTTTTTACAATTCTAACTGGTTTTATTTTTCCAGTATTTTGTATCAGAGGCTCTTATAAGATAAGAGTCAGCGTGACAGAATGTGATTTTTAGTAGAATCTTAAAATCAGCCACATACTCTGGCTTGTATGGAAAAGCATAAACACTAACAATGGTGTAAAGTACCTTCGGTTAACAGATAAAACAGCCTAACAAACTACTTTTGATCATTTCCAAGTACAGATTGTGTCTCAGCAATTCTTATACATCCCTAAATCTCTTTTTATCTCCTAAAGAAATCAAACTGTGAACAATCCTGTTTCCCCTAACCTTCTCCTTCCCCTAACCCAAAATATGTTTTATAATTAACAAAACCTTTCACTTTTTAAAACCTTCTGCCCCCTTGTGGTTTTTATGATACACAAAATTCCCAGAGAATTTCTTCACATTTTAGTTCTCATTCAATAAAGCACTTCTGCATTCCTATTTAGAAAAACTATTAACGCTCAGATTTAACTTTAAATACATTTGTCAGGGTTATTGAATTCAGTGAGACTCAGATTTGATTAAGCACTTGTATCAGCTTGAGACTCAGGATCAGATCCTAGGCTATACAATCTTACTAGGCACAGCCAAAATTCACAGCCCCAGCCTGCCTCAGCACAGCTAGAACAGCTGAAGGGAGAGGAGAAGGCTGCTGAAGACCTCCATAGGAAATGATGGCTATTTATGCAAAGAAATTTATACTGGTATAAACACCTCTCCCTTACTCTTATTGCAACATGACAGACTAAAACGCACGCAAGGTCGTTACTGAAAATAAGCTGCAGCAGTTTGCATCCAAACATTAACTTTTAGCCAAAAAAGGCCCAAGTGGACAACGTAAGGCAAAGCAGCCTCCCCACGTTGCCCTATGGGCCCCAGTACATCAAATTCTTAGAGTAGCGTCTCGAGGATCCGTCACAGATTCACCACTCTGCACTCCAATTAGAATTCTTAGGCAGATTCGAGGTGTCCTCAGAAGATTGCCATCTGAGATTCCCCGTTTGTACATAAGGTTTACATTACTCCAGGCCATTCGAGATCAGAGAAAGCCACGACATGAATAAGGTCTGCTCTGTATTCAGTTCAATCAATACTAGATGATTCTCATGCTCGTTTATCATATTTTCCATGGAATTTAAAGCCACTTGACCATTTTGTTATGCAAACCTACGAGCTATGCCGACAGCTAAAAGCTGGGCAGAATTTTAGGGCAGTCTGTCTAAAAATGTCTGGTTCTGGACTTTACCTTTTCATTCATTAATACAGATCATTAATACAGGGAAAGGCAAGTTAAGCATATGGTGTACTGTAAGTCCTTCGACTTTGTTCATGTAATTTTTCAAGTTCACATTGTCTAAACATTGTTTAGAGGATTTCAATTGTCCTTGCCATCACCAAAATGAAAAAGAAGAAAGCAAAGATGTTTTACTTGCTTGACCAAAAACAAAACAAAAGTGAATTAGCAGTTGATAGTATGTTTGGTACATTTCTACCTCACATCTATATTAACCACTCTTTTTGTTTACAAAGCTTCTGGTGAAACCTTGTCTGTCTTTACAATGTCTAGGAAAAAGTTACTCTGACAACTGATTGGCACACAAAAACTGTAAATAGATAAATTGCAGATGAAGAGGCAAAAATATCTGCAAGACGGATTTAATGTCAGTTCTAACAGCAGTATGGCAAAACCAAACTGAATGCTTCCTGCTACGTATTTATTAATACAGCACTTCCTTTCCTAAAAAGATTGGATACATCAAATATGCAGAACTGAAGTATGGAGAAGAAAACTGGATATATCTTCCAGAATATTGGTTTGAAAAAACATATACAAGAACTGATAAACACAGTAAACAGGTAATTTTCAGACTTTACCGCACTAGGGATCCCAGAGCCAAAAAACTTTGTGGGGTTTAGCATGGAAATGAACACTCTGAACTGGGTTTTGAAACCGGTCTGTATCACAGTGCTATTTTTGAGTGTTTAGCAGAGTGCAAATTTATTAGAAAAAGCTGCTTGCTCAGCTTATAACACTTTGTTGAAACTCCAAGATGAAGTATTTCTTAGAAAAGTTAGATTGTATATACACCTGAACTCCTCTTGGATATCACTACAAAACAAATGGGCAGGCTTTTTTTAAAAAAAATAAATTCTGTATCAGAAGACATCATCAAAATTTTAAGCTATTCTTGCAGTTCTATTTTTACTTTACTTACCAATGTAAGCACCACTTTGGAAACTTAAAGCTGAAAACTGTTTTCAAATTTAATTTTATTTTCTCCATTTATGCAACTTGTTACTTTGATGGGAATATCTGTGAAAAAGGAGGCCAGTCATTTAAGGCACATAGAAAATAAGGAGGTGATTGGTGACAGCCAACATGGCTTCACTAAGGGCAAATCCTGCCTGACTAATTTGGTGGCCTTCTATGATGAGGTTACAGCACTGATGGACAGGTGAAGAGCAACTGACATTGTCTACCTGGACTTATCCAAAGCATTTGATACTGTCTCACACGACATCCTTGTCTCTAAACTGGAAAGACGTGGTTTTGATGGATGGACCACTCGGTCAATAAGGAATTGGTTGGATGGTCACACTCAAAGAGTTGTGGTCAACGGTTCAATGTCGAAGTGGAGGCCGGTGACGAGTGGTGTTCCTCAGGGGTCAGTACTGGGACCAGTGCTATTTAACATCTTTGTTGGTGACTTGGACAGTGGGATCGAGTGCACCCTCAGCAAGTTTGCAGATGACACCAAGTTGTGTGGTGTGGTGGACACGCTGGAGGGAAGGGATGACATCCAGAGGGACCTCGACAGGCTGGAGAGGTGGGCCTGTGAGAACCTCATGAAGTTCAACAAGGCCAAGTGCAAGGTCCTGCACATGGGTTGGGGCAATCCCAAGCACAAATACAGGCTGGGCCGAGAATGGACTGAGAGCAGCCCTGAGGAAAAGGACTTGGGAGTGCTGGTGGATGCGAAGCTCAACATGAGCCGGTAACGCGCACTGGCAGCCCAGAAAGCAAATCGTATCCTGGGTTGCATCAGAAGCGTGGCCAGCAGGTCAAGGGAGGTGATTCTGCCCCTCTACTCTGCTTTTGTGAGACCCCACCTGGAATACTGCATTCAGCTCTGGAGTCCCCAACACAAGAAGGACATGGAGCTGCTGGAGTGAGTCCAGAGGAGGGCCACGAAGATGATCCGAGGGCTGGAACACGTCTGCTATGAAGACAGGCTGAAAGAGTTGGGGCTGTTCAGCCTGGAGAAGAGAAGGCTCCGGGGTGATCTTATAGCAGCCTTCCAGTACCTAAAGGGGGCCTACAGGAAAGCTGGAGAGGGGCTTTTTACAAGGGCATGTAGTGATAGGACAAGGGGCAATGGCTTTAAACTGAAAGAGGGGAGATTTAGATTGGATATAAGGAAGAAATTTTTCACTCTGAGGGTGGTGAGGCACTGGAACAGGTTGCCCAGAGAAGTTGTAGATGCCCCATCCCTGGAAGTGTTCAAGGCCAGGTTGGACGGGGCTTTGGGCAACCTGGTGTAGTGGAGGGTTTCCCTGCCCATGGCAGGGGGGTTGGAACTAGATGAGCTTTGAGGTCCCTTCCAACCCAAACCATTCTATGATTCTATGATTTATATCCTGCTTTTTATGCAAAAGTGTGACTGTATCTGCAGTCACAGTATGGCAGTATCTGCCATGCCCTCAAACTTTGAGGGAAGAATACATGCATTTTATTTCACCATTATTCCTCATGGGCCTCATCCAGTGGCCTTTTAAAGTTAATGGAGACACATTAACTTTAGCAGACTTTGAGTTAAGTCCTATAAAAACATACCTAAATAATTCAGTTCCTACCATTGTCTTTAAAGGAATTATCTTCTCTAATTTGTCAGATATAGCACATACATGTAAAAAGATGTTAACAAAATAACATATCCTTCAGTTACTGCTGTCTTAATTGTAAAATTATATTTTTGCACACACTGCTGCATCTGTTGCAGACCTCCAGCCATTTGCTTCACACTTGCAATGTACCACAGTGCCTCATTACCAAGGCTCAGGCTCTTCTCAGTGCATGTGGCTGTATGAAGGTGTCCCTGGATCATCCCCTTGACTACACTATGGTCCCCCTCTGGTAACCATCATGAAGTAGAAACTTTTAAGATGTTTTATAAGTGACTTGCATTTTTATACCACAACAATTAGCTATCAAAAAATGAGCAGGTTTGTTTTTTTTTTTAAATAGCACAACAGGTGTATTTTGAGTCCCATCAGTGCACTATTCACAAATAAAGGTAATTTAATTGTGCAGTACCACCAGCACACTGAAAAATAAGGAGCCACAGCCTTGCAGTTCCAGACAATTAGCTGAACAGATATTGAATTTCTGATTATTAAACTGAAAATGAAAAATACTTGAACTCTAAAAATAAGTGAGACAATAAAATCTGCTGCTTTAAAAAAATTTGCACACAATCATGTAGTATTGTGATAATGCCTTGCTTCTTGACTAGCTAGCCAGAGGTAACATTTAGTCCAAGGGTAACATTTTTTTGTGTAAAGAAATTAAGCTGAAAACAAATTATAGACACACATATACACAAACACAGGTACATGTGTTCAGAACAGGGTTAGAAACACTGACGTCTTCCAGTCAGGCAATCAAGCTATTAAAATTCCTATTAAATTTCTTACTACAGATGCAGTAGAAACTTGCTGCTCTGTGCCAGCACCCTAGATACTGAGTCTCCCTGATGAAAGAAAGTTAGTATTAAGAATGACTTAATTTACCCAATTGCATGTCTCTCCAATAGTCTCTGAACTGGTATGGTTAACTTCCCAAGAAAGCGCTTGATGATCGGACGACTCTTGGCAAATTTGTCTTTAACCTCAATTTCCAGGACATCTGTTAGAAGTGCAACAAAAGAATATTTCTGGAAGGAAAGAACATATTTGACACCATATCAATACACTTTTATTCGGAATGTATGTACATAATTACTACTAGCATGCAGTGAACTCCGAAAGCAACGACTGATGATATTGACTGATGATGTCATATTGCAAAATGACATCAACATCGTTCATTAAGCACCATATTTTTGCACATGTAACCAGCCTCTCAGGAAACCCATACCCTTTTACTGTTCCTTGAAAATATTTGCTCAGTAAGAAACCGCACTGGACAAAAGTACTTTCATGGTCTATGTCAGAAAGGAGAAAGCAATGTATCCTAGGGTTTGCTTTAATGTGGACAGTAGAAAGCAAAAAGAGAAGGAATCCTTGCTGTACTCCATCAGGTTAATAGAAGAGTAGCCAGGTCAACACAAGTGGAAGGAGGAAAGTATCTCACTCTAGGCTGTGCTTAGTGAACTTCCCTTCCAACACGACGCTTCGCGTTAATTCCTTTGTATCCATGACAGGAAGTCAAAAGGGCAATGTGTATACAGTATTTTCAGGAGCACTGTAACTAAAGGAGGAGAATTTTCTATGCATTTTTGCCCCAAAGTTCACAAATCTTCTCAGCAATCTCCAATGGAGCCTTTTTCTCCACTTGGGGCCTTTAAACAATGTGGTGCTAATTTAGAAAAGATTTCTTGACGTCTGGTAAGATCATTCTCCCACCTTTCCCTATGAGGGAACACTATCACAGGTACGCTCTTCAGCCTAGCATCAATTTTCATGCAGTTTATGAATATTTCATCTTTGAGATGTGTGCAGCTCTGTCAAGTCTGCCTGAAAATGACCAAAAGATTCAGAAGTGGTACAGGGCAAATATATCAGCAGGCATGTTGGCAGACACACACATACACACAGTGTGGTAACAAATTCCCTTAGGAAAGCAAGCTTAGGAACCAAATATTTTAATTTTACTCTAAATTTTAAGATATTTAAAATAAACAAACAAAAAAGCGTGGTATAACCTGCTCAGACAAGCCAAGGTCATCTGGTTAGACTTTTACTATACGCCATCTTTAAGACCCCTGAGAAAATTGCAACCTGAATACAATGTCTAATATGCATCTGGCTAAATAGCTAAAGACGTATTGAGCAAGGAACAGAAGAAGGAACAACTCTTGAGTTTAGCTGTAGACACCAGATAAATATATGCAAAAACAGCAATTACATTGGGTCAGGAATAAAAACATTTTCTCATGTTGGGCAACTGTTGGAGCTGGGTTCCTGTGATAAACAGAAGTTAAATATTTGTCACTCTCAGTTTGCTATAAAATTGCAAATTATTTGCAGAAAGGAGTAGATGTAAAACAGGATTAATTCTGCACCACTGGAACAGCATATGTAATGGGATCATAAGCTGCTGTCGTCAGAGCATTGCTACAGTGAAGATACAGCATTTAAAGCAAGCTGATACAACACGTGCGCCACGGAACATTATCACTTCTCTAATAAGCTTCAAAACCAAGGAGAACTGGAGGACAAAAAAGGGGAAAAATAAGAGTACATTTTCTTTCTATCTACTGGATAGATGAATGGACAGACAGAAAGATGAAGAATCAATTAAGAGATTAGAACTCTGAATTTTTAAAGATTTTAAGACTTCCACATATCTACAGTCTTTCCCACAACCAAGTACCCCAGAGCAGTGCTAACGCTGGCCCTGCTCTGTTCTGCTTTATTGCTTGTTTGGTTTGATTATCATTCGTGGGAACATTTTGCAAAGCCCACTGAATTTTCCCGTTTTCCTGAGGAATACATTAACATTCACCAAACACAGTACAGACATCTGCTCATTAGAAAACAGGCGCGGATGAAGAACGCTGCACGCCGGTCTTGAAAGGGTTATGGACTTGCATCAGTATTTTCACCGTGTTTCCCACAGAAACATTTCTCTTCAGAGGCACAGCCTGGCTCTTCTGTGCCCAAAGACAGTTGGGGGACTGAGCTCCTTCTCCGAGATCTGCACAGCCTAACCAATACATCTGGAAAACTGACTTCTGCCAAACTGTTTTTTCCCCCCCCTTGCTGAGTGATGCTGCAATGCCTCCGTCGACCTTCCTTCCGACAGCAGCGCAGACAGAGTCTACAGCAAAGGGCATCCCCTTTGCCCGGCAAAACTGAAGCTTGCCACCTGCTATGCACAGTGAGGATAGCACTTCCAAATGAACAGTTCTTGCAATCACTGAGCATATATGTTCCCTTATTGTACCTCCTCTTCAAGAGTCTTCTCACAACATATAATCCATTTTAATTAATTTATTTTTGCAATTTCAAGAAATCTACTGGGCTGTTAAGTGAGTTCAAGTCTTGTTAGTACAGAAGGAAATGAAAACCTCACAGCAGTGCAGCTCAAATACACAGCTTAAATATGCAGATGATAGCTGTTTCTATCCAAAAACAGCGTTCCTGAAATTACTACAATTTCTGTGTCAGTTTAAATAACTAGCTACAAAATGAACTCACAGCCTTCGGAGAGTAAAGACTAATGCACAAAGAGAAAATAACAGCCTGGTACACTGCATCAGCTGGCAGGCAGCTCTCAAAAGGGATATATTACCTCTCTGTGCCAAACAGGATTAGTTGTGTTACTGATGATAGTCGACCTCCTTTCCTGGCCATGATGAGCAAACGTAGGAAATGTACTTTTCTTGCCTGGCTGAATGGACATCTTTAGATAAGGATCAGGGTTGAAGAACATGCCTTTTTTAAGTCCAACTGCTCTAATATCTATAAAGCAAAACAAGAAGGAAGGAAATAGGAACTGAGTAAATTAAAGTTAGTTCACAAAGTAGCACATTCCTAAAATATTACCCAGGAAATCAATTCACCATAAACGACTAAATAAAGCAACTTAAAATTACTCATACATCAACTGGATCCAGTGTACAGAAGACGGTTACAGCAGGAAGTCGAGTGTTCTCCCCAGAGAATATAGGGAGGAAAGGTATCAGTATCCTCATTTACATTTCAGCCTCCAGTCATTTGTAGAACAAAAAACATGATATTGTAAGTCACCTACAAATGTTATTCTCACTACGTAAGGTATTTCCACTCTTAAAAAGAACAAAAAATGAAAAAAACCCAAACCATCACACAGTACTTACTCTGTTTCTGGGGAAGGGGCTAAGACAAAAAAAACATACAGGAGGTAATGTAATGAACTCACACTTCCCCAAAGTTGAGATTTTGATAAATATAATTTCAAATATTCATTATGAAGTTGCTCTGGATTATGATGCACACTTTCTCCCAACTTAGAAGAAGTTAATCTATCTCATATAAAAGGAGGCAAAGTTTTCTGAAAATGCTTCTTTCTTCCTAGGGAAACCTCAGTACTGCAGCCCTTGCGACTTGCAACAATAAATAGTGATTTCCTCAGGTGCGTATTCTCATGCCTAAGGATTTCAACGGTAGCGCAAGCTTCCACAAGAACAGAAGCAAGGAGGTATCTTTTTATATAATACTAGGTTTTAAACTTATCTGTAAAATAGTTCTCTGTTTAGATTTGCTGAAGCACAGGATTTTTGTTGTCTTTCTCCATTAGGTACTCCAGTATGCTGCATGCAGTCTTCATAACCCTAAGGCAACTGGCACATGAATACTTAGATGAGCAGTTTATACATGCAAGCAAAATTCACTGCACTAAAATGAAATGTTACACCTGTGGATTCAGTAAAAAAAAAAATAATCCTACCCAATGTTCAAAATGAAGCCACACAGTAAAAATACCATGAAATAAAGGGTAATTGTCTTTAAAAGCAACAACTTTGCATGTGCAACGAGCAATCAAAAAATGTTACGGGAAATACGTTACAGACCTACTAGTTAATACATCTTTCAAAATTAATTTAGGAGACTCCTCAGGCTGAGTCACAACCTTCTATTAAACACAAGAGGTTTTTCAGAATTCACAAACCAATTATTTTTATAGTACTCTGTGTGAGTCTATACAACCTATCAGCTCTATCCCAGATAACTGCTGAAAGATCATTTCAAAAAGTGGTATTTTTTCCTGCTCTACCCCATAATCTCTAAATGTTTTGACTGTCAGATCTTCAAGATTCAGAAGCAAATTTTTTTTTTTAGTGTTTGCTCAAGCTGAACATGCTTTAGTCTCACACAAGAGTTCTCATGGAATAAAGTGTTAATCAAAACAAGTGAAGCTGGTAGACTGCACCCCTACAGCTATTTCGCTGTAGTGACAGCTTAAGTCACAGTGACTGTTACAAGTAAAGATTTTTTCCTTTCTAAACCAACATTTGCAGCCATTGCTTTTTCACTACTTCAAAGTGATAGAACCAGCTTGCATTTTATTTAGAGGCTACGTTTTGCACTTTTCCATCTGAGAGGAACTGCCCCTTGAGCAAACGGGAAATTTCTCCTAATTTTTCATGCTAGGATCCATCAAATCCATTTCTTTCACTCCTGGAGATCCATGACTGGCTTGTTTTCAAGAAACAGAAGTTCTAAAGAAATGACATCTTTCAAGCCACTAGAGTGTGCTCCTACAGAGGCTAATGAAGAGAAGTGTTCCATCTTTCATGCTATTTAAAACAGCAATTTATTTATTTTTTTAACAGTAGTTTGTAACACACAGAGTAGTGATGTTCTTTACCTGACAGGGTAAAGCTGACTAACTTCCTAGAGTGCTGGGCTCCAGAAGCACCTCCATCCGTGCCTTCTACTCCCATCTGAAGAAGAGAAAAAAAAAGAAATATGCTACAGAAGTCTTCATCTGCTTTGTATATGCTTGAGGATGATAATGCAATTGTAACATAGTATGCAGGGGAAGAATCTGACCAACTACTGCCTGTTTCCACAGACAGGCAAAGCTACAGCGCTTGTTTCTAGGAAAATATCTATTATTTACACCACACAGAGCTACTACACCAGTACTTGGATTGTCCAAATACAACATACATAGGCTAACGCACATGCAGATGCTATTAAATGGAGAAAAGAGATCGTACTTTCTTACAAGTTTCCCCTTTTGTAAAATAAAATCAACAGTATGGATTGGTAATACATACCAAAGCACTGAGCTGGCCAGTGACAGCATGTGTAACTTTTGTCACTTTCCACAAATAGATAATTTATTGTGCAACAAAAAAACCCCAAAGAGATCAAAGAGAAACTAACAAAAGCCTTCAGATCTATGAATAAAAGCTCCTTTTTAACAGAAAAGCATATCAGTTACCTAAATACGAATGTAGTCTAAAAGCCTATGCTTCACAGATTTCCAGGTTTGGTTTCTACTGAAATCCCTCATTAGGTAAAGCACTGCTTCAAAATAAAAAGCTTCTCATGTATCAATGTCTTATGAATGCCTAGTTCTTTCAACTAGCAGAATAATTTGTCTTTCAAGACAGAGATGTACATCCAGCTGAATAATCTGTCATGAAGACATCAATGGAGCTATCTTTAAAGTCAAACGGTTCTCCCGGTAGGCACTGCACTCGCTCCCAGGCAGAAGAGGTGACGCACCCTGATGAAAAAGCTTCAGGCAAACAGGGCGCTGGGGATTAACACTAGTGATAGAACAGGAAGTCATCTGATCTATCAAATGATGAAAAAGATCATCAAAACTCTTAACACTTTGTACGTAACAAGCAAACAAAGACATGAAGAAACCGTGATGACGTCGATGCTGGACATCCTCATGGGTCCCAGCCAGCTTCTGAGGGAACACACCGTGCCAGCAAGCGCGTCGCTCACTACCAGCCCATTCCCTTCCCTCACTGCTGCCTTCACAATGCAACCCCCTTCTCAGGGCTGAGATGTTTCTCAGCAGCATGATCGAAACGATCACTTTCCCACCCAGCATGACGTCATTATGCCAGTGACTTTATACGGACATGTAAGCGGTGACAGCTGGTAGTCAATGTGAGGGCATCAAAATCAATGGGTTAATTCTAACTGGATCAGCATCCTCTCACCTGCAGACAGATTCCCTGGAAGCAGCAAGGGACACATCCCCCTGGGATGGGGACACTGCCCAGGTGAGGCCGAAGGAATGCTGTGTATTTCAGTGCACTCTTTTGGGCTTACTCTAACATGCATTGTTTTCTTGTTGAAAACGTTATTCCTCAACAAAAAGGCCTTCCTCACTCTATATCTATTTCACTGCTACATCACTGACTCTGAATATTGTGGTTTACATTGCTAATCATTACTTCATTTTATAGAAAATAGGATTTGCCCACAATTCAGCTATAATAAAATGAATCAGAACGGTGTTCCCTAGTGCTACGCACCCCTTCTCTGTTCCATTATGACCTGAACAGCAACTTCAAATCTTCTGTGCCAAGTACAAAATCTCATCCCAGCATACCTGTCCAGCTTTTTGCACTACAAAGTCTATCTCATCTGGTGTAACACAGTGTTTCTCAAAGCTAGGTCAGCCCTTCCATTTCCACTGGTTCACATGAACACCACAGAATATTGGTTGCTTATCCAAAAACAGGACGGACTGAAATGCCTGGTGTGATATGTCACCAATATGAGGAAAATCAGAAACTTGTCTTCCACCAAACCCTGTAATGTGAAAACACAGAATGATCCAAGTAAGCCGGTAACTTACTGCAGCTTAAAAAAAGAAAGCCAGCATGCCGTGACTCTCTTACCACTTCCACAAACAGCATTTCTGCAGCAACAGACACGACTAGTGCCAAGAGAACAAAGGATCCTCTACTACACAGTGCTTAAGCTCAACACTGAAACCATGAAAACGGTGCGAGGTATTAACATAAAATAATGGGTATACTTATGTATAACTAACCCAATACGATGTTTTTAGGAAGCCTCATCTGAGCTGTCATACAACATTCTCATCAGGGAAACTAACAGCTTACTATTAATGGAAGTCTGTGCTGTTAGCATAAACAAAAATGTTTATATAAAATTACACCTTCTATCAGGAGTGTAAATTCTGTAGAATACCCAGGACTCTGTGCTACCTTTCACAGGAAAGAAATTAAAAACAGTGATGGCTGGTTAACTCCTCAAGATTGACCAATGAATTTGAAAGACAGGTCTTCAGGTAGGTGTCAAGTAAATAAATGCATACTCGAAGACAGAAGTTCAGATGTCCGTTCGTGCAATGATTCTCAAAAATATTGGTGGCCAGCATGACAAGATCAAGAAAACACACAAGTTCAAATGGTTTATCCGTCCAATACCATCATTCTGCTTCTCAGTAACAATATCATGCAGCACAGCCCATTTCAATGCTTTTCTTTGTTCAAAGTCAGGCTAACTTACAGTCTGTAGATTATAAATTGACATTAAAGACAGTAGCTGCCAAGCTCATTAACTGTAACACGTTTTCTTCTGTAAAATATCAAGAGTTCATATGCCTGCTGCAAACTGATATTATTCACGGTCAGATCTGACAAAGATCTGACAATTAAATGGTGCTATCATCTAGGTCTGTAATTCTAAGAAAAAGAAAAAACACTTGGTATAATGAGATATAAAGTCTAGTATAGCAGATACAATAACATATAGCCATAACACGCACTTGAACGTAACATACAATGCTGAAAAAGTGCAGGATGAGAATAAAAGCTATTCAGCCTGTATAACTTGAGCTCCACAGTACCTTCAACATGGCAGTTGTCAAGAGAACATCCTGACAGCCGTGATCTTAAATATTTGTCAGCTAATATCAATGAAACAAATGCACTGTGAAACTTCATGTCAACTGAAGAGCTAGCTTATTAGATAAATTACTTCCATCGAAAGCACCTGGATACAAGTTTGGAAGGTTCTTCTTCCAATATGTATTGAAACTACTAAAAAAACTCCTCTAAAACTTTCAGTATTTCAAAAGAACTAGTCTCATGATGAAAGCATAGTAAAGCAGCAATAACTCTCAATAGTCAGAGAATTATATAAATTTCAATGGTATATGAACACTTAAAAAAAAATCAATAATTTTTGCAAGGGTTGAGTTTTGTCCAGTCCTGTTTTTATACTAATAATTGCTATCTCAGCAACAATTTCATTTTTAATATTAATAAATACAAAGAATATATCAAGACTTTTAATAAGAATTCTGTTTGAGTTAGAAAAATTTGAAATGCAAATTTTGAACAGTAGAAAATGCGAAAAATTTCTACTTTGGTGTCAAATTACAGCAAACTGCAAGCCGCAAAATTGAAAGCAAGCAAAATCAAGTTCTTAGCATAAAAGATTTTCACTCAGCTCAGTGATTTTAATGTTGTTTTATCATGAAAAATACAAAACCAAGAAAAACATTTCCCAATTTTAAGGATTTTTGTCAGGCAACATAGTTTTTTGCAAAAATTGCAGTTAACGGTAAAACTAGGGGACATACATCAATAGGTTTGTCTGACAGTTAATATTATCATCTTATCAAAATACAACAAACAAATAGGCTAAACTTACCATCACAGCAGGGTTTTTCACAGTGATACATGGAGTAGTAGCTCGGAGGGCTCCACTAACACCATGGTAGTATTTAAAGCAGATCTTTATTTCAGCTGGAAAACAAAACAAAAATCATATTAAACCCTTCACGGCTGACCTGAGGCAAAAGAGGGACAACGAAAGGAACACAGGCATACAGGGAGTCGGAGTTCACTTCTGACCATGGAGTCCACGTTCGGGCAGTCCCCCGATAACGTCTTCGCTGTAAAGCACACAATAACCGTAACTGAAATACATTTTCTCTCAACCTGTAGAAATTCGAAACTCATCTCAAAGATTTAAGTCTGAATAGATTTTTAGGTAAAGAGCTGATAAATGCTGCCGCCGCCTTCTTTTTTTTTTTTTTAATTGTTAATTTTAACTATATTTCTACTCAGCCAGTAAAGAAAAAAACCCACTCATTTTCTCCAGCTCTTACCATGAGATGTCCGTGGTCACTATTGGGTAAGAAATGTCTTAGTATTCACAAGCCTCATTTCACATGAAGCCACTTTTCTATGTTTTGTATGGGTCCGGAGGGAAGGAGATGAGATCGGTATTGCACGCAGAAGATGAGTTCATTGCAACATAATAGGGCTAATGTAAGTTATTATTTTTCAGCAAATTTGTAAGCTGCAAATAAAAAAAATAACTACATATGTGTTTTATTCTTAAATCATTTAATCATATGAAAATGTGGCCTCTCTCTACAGCCTCACACGCAAACGTGGTATTAAAAGTATTATAACACGTTAATCTACGAAATCTAGAAACACAGTAAATCTACTGCTTTTTTTGCTTCTCAAAAGGAAAGTAACATATTTTGATGAATGCATTAACATATATTATGCCAACACAATGCTTTAAAATTGTGGCATCCTTTTCAGGCAGTTTGAACGATGCAGGTTTTTTTTTTCACATGGAAGCAATAATTCTCAAACAAACTACTCACCCCTATAGTAACTGTGACTGAAGAGAGAACAGCACAGGTGAACGTGTGCTAAGAGCCCCGAGCCCTTGAGCAGCAACGGTGGAGGCAGGCTACACGCCTTCCGCTTCTGTTTCCTAACCTTAGGCAAGGGCACAGAGAACAGAAAGGCTACAAGTGTCCAGCCATTCTCTCAAAGCCAAAAACAGGATTGCAGAGAATCAGGATATATTTTCCTGGATTGTAATGCAACTTTATTTGCTCTAAGATAACTGTGCTTTTTGCTCCAAGTTGATTCTTACAAGATGGAGAAGAAAAGAAATCATTAGATCATCTGTTCTGATCATTATTGTGCGCTTTGCTGTCCCTGCACAAAATGAATGTTGACTTACGGACGCCTTTCATTCCATAGTCAACAATATCAAAATTAATTTTATTTGGCTGTGCCTAGCTTGCTAAATCATCCTGTATGGATCTTCAATTGCTTTTATCCATTCCAGCAATTCTCATATAATCCACAGATGAAAATCAGTAGGAACCCTGGACTTCAAACCACTGACAAAAATGTTTAAAAGCACTGAATCTTTCATCAACTCCTGCAGGGCCTCACTAATACGATTTTGCTTTCTGTGTAACCTGTCAAGCCTTTCACCATCGTTTAGCGTGCCAATCCAAAAATACCCTTGATCCTGGTAAAATAAGAGAATAAACAGACACAACTTGAGGATGAGACAAAATACTGTAAAACATAAGCTCTTAAAGTTTAGATTCTGCATTAGCCCTACAAGTGTCCTGCCATTCTGGCAGGAGTGGAGATGCAAGTATGGCTGACCATGGTGGAAAGCTATTAATATGCTGTTCAGCATACTCTTGAAAGCTCATTCTAGATGAGTAGGATCCATCATTCAATGACCTGTCTTCAGAAATACTTCAATAGGAAATTAAGAATACAGCATCTGGTTATCACCCCTTTGTGCGTTGGGACCTTTTGTTACTCAACAGTGGCGGTGGGGGGGGGGAAGTAACTTCGCTAATTTTGCATCTTGTACTTCTATTTCAATATAATCAGCTACAAAAAAGGGCTACCGAAACATTTGCATGACACATACCTGAAGGAAGCTTGAAGCACTTTCTACTGGAACACAGGAAAGGTGAACATCGGACCATGTTTCTGGTCCCACTGAATAAAGTTTTGTTTGCTAAACTGCATTTACTGCAAGCAAAAGAGTATTATGTTTAACTGAAGTCTGATCTCCACTGTTGTTCCTCTGCATTCTTCCAACCCAGCAGAACAGCTATGATTATGGCTGCCCTCGATCCTGTGGGATTTTCCCTATCTGGAACAATCTCTGTTTCCCTTCTCCATTGGGATAAGTCTTCTCTGTGAGGTTGATGAGGGTTTACTTCTGGGTACAGAAGCGGCCTCAGGCAGACAGAAATTACAGCAACCAGTTCAGACAGACCAGAGGACGTGCGTGAAAGTTTTGGCAGTTCAATTCCTCTGTCTCGGTTTAACCATATGTCAGTAGTTCTAAAATACAAAACTGCAATGTTTTGTATAAGGTTTTGAGACATATAGCATGATTCCTTGAGGGCTGAGGTATTTCATCACTGTGAGATAAAATATCCACTTATCCCTACTCAGAAGGATCAGAAATCCATCCTGCAAGCCTGCTCAGCCAAAAATGATTATTTATTTATTTTTAAATTTGCTGCAGTTACAGGTCAACGTTTATTTACTGTCTTCCTCACAGAACAAAGAGGAAGCACCTCAGAACTACTCTTCAAAGGAAAGCGTCTGGCTGACAGTGCCTCCAGGGACACAGGAGGTGGAGGAGATGATGGTCCCGCTTCCTCCTCCTCACAGCTGAGTTCACACACACAGTCAAAACATGCTCTATTTCCCACAAGCTTTACAGTAAAATTCAAAATGCAAACAGGATTTTTAATCACCTGCAAAAGTTTACAAGAAGTAAAAATTATGGCTCAGTACCTGCAAGTTCTTCCTAAACTGAGCAATTTGGTTGACCTACAAACAATACTTGCACCCAAACAGACACACAAGAATTTCTAGCTCACGTAAAATTGGACTTTCAGCACTTGAAAAAGTTGGCAAGATTTATACCAAGTGCTGGACTCTCCACAATGTAAAATACATATATTAAGCAACCAGGGCTCAAGTGTTGAGCATCGCTTAATCACACTGTGAACACATTATGACTACATGAGAGCATGTTAAGACAATGATTCCATCACGACTTCTACTTTTCAGCTACATTGCTCAGCATTTTTGTGACCCAAAATTTATTTTTCAGAGAGTTTCTGGAGCTGCTGTTTATTCAGTCTGTTGTCACTGGCTTCTTTCTCTCAGTTCATCACTTCTGAAAAGAACCTAGCAAGGGAAAGGTTATCAGCTGCTGCTTCTATCCACAGTCAATAAGTTGATTGTGGACAGAAGTTTCCTATATATTCTCACTACATTGACATGTACATTCCCTGAAAGGCTGAAATTCAATGCTACAAGCTTTGGATCCTCAGATTTCTTTCTCTCAATGACTTCTATGAGCACACAGTATTTTTCAATACCTGTATGTGGCTGGTGATAGAAGAAAACAATATTTGATTCAAGAAATATATCTGACGATCCCTTTCGTATAAACCGAATTTAAAAAAAAAAAAAAAAAATCTTCAGGACTAACTGCTAGGAAGAACCAGAAAAAGCAGACCACTTAAAAACACAGCGCGGAGACTTTTTCTCTCGCTTCCCAACAGGAGCAGCACTGATTTGGTTTGGGTTTTATACAGCACTACACACGGGAACGGCACACTTGTTAGTGTTGTGTCGATGAGATTAACACAAGAGAAACTGTGCTTGATATTCAGCACAAAACTGTAAAATGGGCTACACATCACAAGCATGCAGACATTGCCAAAGTGAATACGGGTTTGCAAGACTGGATCTTGTATATAGCAAGAATACAATCCCTTCAACAGGACTAGAAACAGCTAAGTAATTTTTTTCATGGCTAATAATGCTAGAAACTGCAGTTAACACCTAACAGTAAAAGAAATCTCAGAGGAACCTTGTCAGCTCAAAACAACTGAGGATCTAGCTTTTTGACGCTTCTTGTACTGTGTTATCAGAAAAAAATGTTGATTAGAATATTTTATTCTTGATGACTGATGTATTCCTGAGCTCCAGATGTACTGAAAAGAGGCATTTGTGGCTGTTCCTGATAGAACACATGTCAGCCTACTACCTGTAAATAAGGCCCCATAAATATACAGACCTCTTCAGAAACAGTAAGTTCAATTATCTGCAACCAGGACTTTAATATTTAGAGTGGATTTCAATCTCATATTAATACACAAGCTTCATCTGAATGGTTCCATACTACAAGCTGCACAACAGCATATGTCACCTACAGAGTTTTCCCAGTTTCTTTCATTCTTCCTGCCACTTGACTTTCATGTGTTTCCTTTAGGGGAAAACTTGCACTTCTCTCTTTTCTTTCCTACTTCTTCTTCCCTCAACAAGCTAATTAGCTTGCTTTGCATGTGATCTGTAATGAAAAACTTACAGTAAATCCAGCAAGAGAAAGACATTTGTACCTGACAACAGCTGTATTTGCTGTCTCATAAAAGAAAAATATGACATTTCAGGAAAAAAAGTATTTTCATTCATAGGGAGCAAAAAAAACTACTGTACCTAGCTCTGTGTTCTTGATACCACATATGCTCTATTATCACTGACATTCCTACACACATCATACAGACATCATACAGACCACAAGAAATCCCTTCTTCATTTAAAAAGTAAGACAAAAATGGAATTGGGGTATCTATCATTCTTTGAAAGTTATCACACAGTCATATAAAAAGTGATATATATGTTATTAATCTGAATGCTCCACAAAACCATAATCCCCTTCTTTAAAAGGTCCGTTACATAAAAATGTTGGAATTAACAAAGGTTTCTGGGACTGAAACACTGACATTTGAATTTCAAAAGAATTCTTGCATGAAATTATAGTGCCTTACTTCCCTCTACGGACCATACACTCTTGCCTCTTCAATAATAAAGAGATCAGCTTACACCAAATAACATCTTGCTTTTAAAACATCACTAATTCCCTGAAGTCCCCC